CAAATGCAGAGAGATAAAGCATACACAGAAATATCACTGGCTTCCAGACAAAGCTGGTGCCTTTATTCTGAGAGCAATTCTGATATTTCAAAAGATTTCTAAATCAGAATAAAGCCTTAAGGTGCCTTCTTTCCTGCAGGAGCAAACTTGTGAGTCATAATCTTCTGGAAGCTGTAGGTGCTTTTTCAAGTAAATGAAGCACTTTGCTCTCCCAGGAGCAGGTGCATCCTTCATCTCCCAGCTCTGCTGTGTCCAGAGCTCTGAGTGTATTTCACTGGATCTGGACCTTTACCAGAGTGGTGTCAACAGTGACCCACAGCTCCACCAGACAAGCTGAAGTAAGTCTGCCAGAGTTTCTTGGGAAGCTTGTGTAAGTAAAGGGCTTTTTTTTGCAAAAGACCTTTGGAGATGAATAAACTTTAAATAAAAATAATTATATGGAAAAAGAAAGTTTTAAAGCATCTTCTTGAGAAATTAATGAGAATTCAGATTTGAAACTTGCTTTCAAATCTGATGAATAAAAGTTCTTGGATTTTCTAAAATACTGCAGAGCTAAAACTTCTCTAAAGGAAGCCACCGACCAAGCATATATCCCAATTTTTCAAATACAAACCACTACCACTGAAATCCATTTGCTACAGTCCTGACAAGGAATGTCAGAGTGCCTTTTTGCACAAAAACCTCTAAGGTTTGTCCAGAGACACTTTCATCTATCAGTGTCCATTTGGGAAGACTAGGCAATCAATCCTCTCTACAATAGAATCTAACATTAAAAGCTTTTTAATGTTAATGGCTTTTTCCCCCACTTTCTTCCCCTTCTTGTCCAGAAGAGAAGCACAGCCAGATATTTCTGTTGCTAAGCCCATTTCTATATCCCTGTGATCTTCTATTCCTCATTCCTTTTTCCACTTTGTGTCAATGCTTGAATACCTCTCTATTTACCCTGTGTGTCCACAGTGTTCCTCCACAGGGCTGTGTTTGTGTTCTGTACCTTGTTATTGCAAGAGTGACACTTCTTGCTTGCACTCACTACAACAAAATTGCACTTTAATCAATAAGGTTGTTCCTCTTGCAGCCCTGGCACATTATCAGGATGGGCCTCTATGAACAGCAGAAAATATTCTTTATTTGTCCCTGAGATGAGGTGTTCTCAGGCTCAGCTGCCTTATACTTAAAAGCTCTTACCTCACATCTCAGCTTTCCCCTACAGTTAACTGAAGAAACTGATAAACAATCCTTCTCAGGCAAGAAATATTTGTTTGAATTTATGAAGATATAAATATCTGCATATTCATAAGCAGATAAGATATATATTATATATAAACATATATATAAGTATACATATAGTATAATGTATACTTATACTATACTTATACTATGTAAGTATACTTACTATATATTTATATGTAAGTATATATTTATATATAAGTATATATTTATATATAAGTATGTAGTATTACTATTAATTACACTATAGTATATATACTTATAAGTATAGCATACTGTACTATAAGCATAGTATAGTAATACTATCCTTATAGTATATTACTATTACTTATATATAAGTATATATTTACTTTTAAGTATAAGTAAATGTAGATAGTATATATGTATCTATAGTATAGTAGATATACACACTATATATGTGTATATCTACTATATATCATATATATAAGATATATAGATATAAGATATATATAATATGTATATTGTATAAGATATATAACATATGCATATAAGAGATATGCAGACAGCTCTACACCCAGCACAAACATTTTGTATAGATTTTTGTCTTTTGTTGTAGCTCATTTCCAGTCTTTTCTGTTCTTCCTCTCTGATTCAATCCAAGATTCATCTCCAGATTCCTTCCACCAAAACTAACTGCTCTTTCCTGATTGGAAAAAAATTAATTTTTAATTAAAATTTGAAATCAAGAAAACCATTTTGGCTAAATCTTTTCCAGGCAGATGAATCATGTGCTTCTAACAGGAAAGAGTGAGTGCAGGGATACTGAACAATAAGTAAATCAGAATTCAGAGCCCAACCTGAAACTTTATTTTGCAAAAGGGTCTCCAAACAAGATTTTTCAAGCACAGAGAGTAGAAGTACAGAAAAGTTCCAAACATTTTATAGCAGTCCTGTAGGCAAAACTAGTTCTGCTTGTCCTTTATGTTGCCCATCAGGAAAGTTATCAAATGGTGGAAAAAGGCTTTAATGTCCGTGTAATAGCTGAAGGCATCACACAAATCTAGTATGTCTGACTGCAGAAGAGAGAACAGAGAGTGCTGTCACATTCTGCAGTCAGGTCACTCCAGTACTCCGGATAATCGCACTTCTTTCAGCTCCAGGTTTCTTACAACTGAAATACAGTCAGAGGTGTGATCTGCAGTGACAATTTACTGCCAGACACAAAAGCATCAAGAATGGAACAAAATAAAACAACAAAAAAAAATCTCATTTTTCTTTTTCTTATTTTGGAGGTAGCCAGGATTATAACTGCTTTATCAATTTATTACTCCTTCTTCCTTTCTTATCACTGCTGCCAATGAATCACAAATTGCAATTTGTTTGCTCTAACACACATATTCAGCAGAGGAGCTGTCAAACACTGGCACTGGCTGCCCAGGGAAATGGCTGAGTCACCATCCCTGGAGGGCTTTAAAAGAGATGTAGATGTGGCACTCGGGCTCATCGTTTAGTGGTTCCAGGTTAATGGTTGGACTTGATTAGATGGGAGGTTTTTTCCAACATAAATGACTCTATAACCCTGTATCTACAACTTTAAAAATGGACTTTCCTCAACTCCAGGTTGCTAGGAAGGCTTTGTGGTTGGATCTACTCTAAAATATGACACAATGTAGGCCTGAAATGACTGCATCAAAGGCAGAAATAGGGGGGCAGGCACAAAAACAGCGGCTAGAAAAGGGAGGAAAGCATCCCTGCAAGCAGCATGACAGCAGAGAACTCTGCACACCTGGCAGAGGTGAGAGGCTGCATTCTGCAGGGGCTGGGGACAAGTTTCCCATCACACACGTATCACAGCTTCATTTTATGGAAGCAACAGCATTCGGTTCCTCACTGCAGCACACATGAAGCAGAACATGGCTTATCACACATCTGCAGCCTCCAGGCTGAGAGATTTTAGGGTCTGCAGCTCTCCCGCTGCCTTTGTTGTGCTGGCCAGTTCTTTGAAGCCCAGTCTGCAGCTGAGAAATCAGCTGCCCAAAAGAGTTCCCAGACTTTCCTCAGAGCTCTTACAGACAGAACTTCTTTCACACAGGCTCAGGTTACTGCAAGGTGCTGATGCCACAGCCCATAAGGCAGCTGCCAACACGATCTCAGGAACAAAGATGGGCTCCCTGGCAGTGACAATTCCACGAGATTCTATAGCCTAGCACAGAGCTAGCACAACTCTTCAACTTTCTTCACTTCCTCTGTATTTGCATATCTTGCATATATTTCCATATCCTTAGCTCCCTTTTTTACAGTAGGAGAAGCCCTTAAACTAATATTTGGGGTTATATTGATCTAGCAATAAAATGGGCAATAGAGCTCTTACTATGTGTTTGGTAGTAAAAAGATACACAGATCATTTTCACACGCAGGACAGCAATCCAAAGGAAGGAATCCATAAAATAAAAGCACTTTTCTGAACATTAGTGTCATATCACATTAAATTCAAAACTTGATGCAAAGTAATAAATGCTGTGTCTAATAAGTAATGTTTTTTCCTTGGAAGCACTTGTTTCAGACATTTGGTAAAAGTAATAAACCAAATTCAAAAGAAGTCTTAATTAGCAAGTCATGAGACATTGAATTTAACACTGGTATATCCTTTCAGTTCTTCCTAGGCATGATCCTGGGTGAGATTTGCTTATGCTGCAGAGCAGAATTGGATTACAAATTCTAAAGAGGAAATAGATTTTTAAGGGGAATCCTGAGACTGGACAACAGAAGCAGAGTAAATTGCTGTAGGAAGACAACCTGGAAGATTTAAAATGCAATCAAACTGGTTTAGTCTTGCGTTCTGTAATTGGTAAACAAACCCACAGTTACTAAGGGGACTAAGAGAAGTCCCTGCAATGATAATATAAATTATGGATCCATGTAGAAGAAAAACCCTTGGGAAAATTTAATTATGATATCTCTTCCCCTGTCATTTCCCAAGCCTATAACATTCCTGACAGGCATTATCTAGTTCCTTCTTTAGAGAAAAATTTCTGTTGAAGATTCTTTTTGATTTCTTTTTTACAGAAATGGGATCAGTACCAGGCTCAGTATTCAGGATGAAGGGACACCAAGACCACAGGCCTTTCTGCTTTATTTTCTCTCTTATTATAGATCCTAGCATTCCATTTGCTTCTTTTTGAGAGCTGCTGAAACTTTCATATCTCTATTCATTATAAATTAATTATAAACAATATCCAACTCTAGCATTAATAGCTAATCCATCCATACTACTAACAAAACCAAACACCCTGTTGTAAAGCCAAATAATAAAACAATGGGAAAAAGCATTTTTCCTTTATGTGCTTCCTCCACAATGCTTCAAGACTATTTAAATTATCAGTGCAAGCTTGAGAGGTGGGCACTGGAAGCTGCTCTCATCCCTTTTTGTTAATTTGTAAGAAGAGAGATTTACTAATCCTAATTGTTGTCTGCTCCCAAGTACTACAGTACAGAGGAAAAAGCTGAACAAACTCATGTGCTAGAATGAAGCTTTGTCCTTCTTAAATTTAAATTCACAAGTTCTTGACACCAGCTTTCACACATATGCATAGCATCTATCATCTGCTCTCACATACTGTGGATATGCATGTTGAATATTAATTTTACTATTTTTTCCTCTCTCCTTCTGTGAAAATAATGTACTTTGACCCCACAGCCCTCAGAAACAGAAAACATAAATTAACCAGGATTCTCCATTTCCAAAGTGTAAAGCACTCTGGCACCTTGTATTATCTGGAAGACTTTTAGAAACAAATTACTTGGGTGGCAGCTTGCTGCAGATGATTCCTCTGCCTTAAACAGACTCTGTCTGCAAGGATTGATCAAACCTCACTTTATCTCACACTGTCCCTCCTCCTTCTAACATGTCAGGACTCTCCACATCCTTGAGCTACATGAATATTTGTTCCTCTTCATTCAGTTTTATTTCTCCATCTACATCCCTGAGGCGTCTCGGTCTGACAGTGGCTTTTGCATGGCTGAGGAATAGAGGGGAAGAAATGGTTTAAATTCCAAATAGTGCCTGCTTTTGTAGCAATGAAAAGCCATGATTTTCTTCTGCACCATAAAGCACTCCAAAATATGGCTTTGCCCTGCCTGGGGTAGAAATAGTTCACACACCCTCTGCTTACATGTTTCACACCTTTACCTGCTTTTTCACTCATATCTTCTGACCACAATAAATCTGCAGTCAAATTTCTTGACAGCAAACAGAGACTGAAGTTATTTGAGGCCACATCCATCCTCTGAGTCAGCAGGACAAGAGCCTGCCCCAAGCTAGAAGATGTTTTTGTCCCACTAACCCGAGCTAACCTGCCTGGTGACCCCCACAGTATTTCCTGTCAGATCACCACGTTCACAGGGCTTTGTGGCACAAGGAATGCCCACGGGGATCTGGGGCCATGCTTTGTTGGGCCCTCCTCAGCAAAACCACAAAATACAATCAAACATTCCAGAGACTCGTGCAAAACCATTGCTTTTCTGATAATTAACAGCACAAAACACACCAAGGATTGTTAAACACATTCTGGGTTTGGTTTTGGTTTTTTTTTTAATAAAAAATGAAAATAAGATAAAAAATAAATAGGAAAAAAGAAGATTTGGAAGAGTAACACAAGCATAAATTAAAGATAGATATTAAGTTTCTGTTTCCAAGGACAAATGCTTGATATTAGCAAGACACGAGTGATCTGTACTAGGCAGTGCTCAAAATTTTCCCACTGCTACACAAAATTCCTGGAGTATCCCTAAACATCTGTGGTGTAACAAACCTATAATCAGGAGAGCAAAACCAGAGCAGCTGGCAATGCTGCATCACAGGGTGCTTGCTAGGGAGTTGTTTAGGAGGCACAGGATTCCCAGGGCAATGGGGTTTCAAGATCCATTGCAGATGGAGCTACTCTAGCTCATCCTCTAGAAGATCTTATCCAATTTATTCAAACTAAGAGACTGCCGGAACAAACAAAAAGCCCCGAGGCGTATTGTAGCGATTGGCACAGAATTTTCAAACACTTCATCAACTCCAGTCCTGACCTCCACACTCAGAAGTGAAAATAACATTCCCAGTTTCTTCTGCAGTAAAATGTCCAGCGTTACTACAACAAAAATTAAAATACTAAACCATGTAAATATTATGAAGTTAATGTCTTCCTCTGATGACAAGAGGAAAAAACATCTTCAGGCAATGGTTACAAATGTGCCATTGACCCAGCAATCATCTATTTAATTAGAAAACTACTGCAATTGATTGAGAACACTTGGACTACACTTACACAGAAAAATCTCATAGGATAAAATATCTTCTCATCAGAAAGGTCAGGCTTTTGGAAAGATGGTTTATTCTTAACAGAAACTTAGTGAATTATCAGGCTTCTGAAAAGAATATTTATTCTAAACAGAAATTTAGTGAATTTTTTCACTTCATTGATCAAATGTATCAGGAAAAAAAAATCAAATTATTATTGATTTATTGGCAAGTCCTGGAGACCAGTAAAAGCATTATTTTTGTATCTTCCAGACCAGGAAGATTCACAACTTGAAAAAGCAACCTTCTGTCACAGAGCAAGTATTAGATTAAATATGAGAAGAGCAATATGTTTTTGTCATCAGAACTTGCTGCAATGCTATATTCAGGCATCTGGAGCATTTTTCAGCACTGCAGAGCATATTAAGAGATGAATTCGTGTCACTACACACTGTATTACATTCCAGGGTAAGTAATTTGCAGTAGATATCAAGTTTCCTACTTCTTTTGCACAAAGTTAGCAAACTGAGCTTGTAGTAGGGACTACAATGAGTCAGAAATATTCTGGTTTTTGGAAGAAAATGTCAATCCAATGAAACCAAAATGTTTAAAGGGCCGTTTGTTCTGTAGCATTATGGGCTGTGGCTAAAACGGGGCGAGAGATCCTTCCCAAAGTTGAGGTCACACCCCTCTCCTCACTGTGCTTCAGGGCAAAGAGACTCACAGGAGGCAGTGCAGGGGTTCTCTGGCTCCAGTTGCTCCCTGTGCTGGGAGAGACAAGAATTCCTGGATGTCTGTGCACTGGTGTCATGGTTTAATCCCACTCTGAAACTCAGCCCCACATAGCCAATGGCTCAATTCCACACCTGAGAATGAGAAATGTGAGAAAACAACCAATCAGAAAATTAAAACTGTAATTAAAGAATAATTAAATTATAACCTGTAATTAAAGAATAATGGATTTATTATTATTATTATTATTATTATTATTATTATTATTATTATTATTATTATTATTATTATTCAGCTACAGAGGTCCATCATGTCATCCCTTTATATTTACCTGGAACTGCAGCAAAGCTCTGGGGCAAATACAGTGAATTAAGAACTCATACTTCAGAGGATTTTATCTGTGCTAAATACAGTGTACATTTGCTTGGAACAGGATATATTTCTTGTTGATTTACCCATGTGAGTTAAATGTCACTGATATCTTTGGCTGCCAGAAGTGGTAAATAAATGTGATAAAAACACATATACCCTAGTCAAATGTACCCTCATTGCAATGAATCAAGGGAAATATTATGAAAAATGTTTGCAATCAAGCCAAGGATATCAACCCATTACATCTTAGTAAATACTGTTATTTTACATATTGACACCATTTTATCCATATTATATCATTTTATTGATGATTTTTGTCACAACAGGTTTTCCTTCATGCAAAATTACACATTTCCCAGCGGTTTGATCTCTGACATGCTTTGTATTTGAAAATTTCCATTTGCTTTGGGTTACAGAAGTAGAGCCAAATTAACCTGGGCAAAAATTTGGCAAGAGGCAGAAACTATTATTGTCAAGTTCAGGCAATCCACATCTGAAAGCTAATCAAAATTGCACAAGCACAGCAAAAATATTGACTGCTCTTCCTATTACCTTGCAAAAATAAACAGATTCATAGCTCTGCTGAGGTCTTTGCTCATTAATTCCCTGTGAGAGTAAAATTTGATAACTGAATGTTCTATTCATACATTATTTTGCTATGTTTTAAAATTCTAAAGTGACTTAATCTAATAATGATAAAATCCTGACCAACAGAGGTTAAAAGGAAAAGCCATGTTTCACATTCCTGTAGAAAACCTAGTATATCATTTTTTTTAAAATCAGCTTGTGAAAAGGCTGTAGGCTAAACACTTGTCCCTTGTTCCTCCTCCCAAGTCTAAGAGCTTCCATGGATTTACAACAGACATCCTAATTTTCAAAACATATCCAAAGAGATATTCAAAGGAAATGAAGGTTAAGCATTTCTTACAAACATCTCATATCTGGGATTGAATGGGGCTGAGCCCTAAATTAAAATACCACAGACACCTGGTTAAAGAACATCTCCTGAAGCTGAGACAACAAATTCCTGAGTCTCCCTTGCATCACCAGCATTCTGTCTCAGGCAGGAGCACAAATTCTCCAGCATCACCAAACCTCTCCAGGAAATCTGGCCATGGGAAGGCAAGTGGGGTGGGATTGCTGCTCCTGAAACCACAAATGCATTGTTCAGTGCTGACCCAGAAGTGCACATGAACTTCTGATGGAGCTTGCACTGAAGGAGAAACCTTTGTGATGGAGATATCAAGACTCAGCTGGAAAGTTTTTCTGGTAGAAAACAGGGGAAGAAAAGATTCACATATCACAGAGATTGCATGTAGAACATACTGCAAGCTGCATACTCTGGGCAAAAAATTTGGAATCAGAAGACATGAGAAAAAACTTTGTGCCAGTGACTTCCTTCTCATCTTAAAAGTGTCCTTCTGCAGAGCTAATGAATGGAGAATCAACTGACAGTTGCTCTGCATTAGGCTCTACAACATGACCTTTCTGAAGCCAAGTGGCTCCAAGACATCATTTTAATTGAACAAAAAAAATTGTAGTCCTGATTAAGAAGAAAAAGTCAAGAGGTTGCTAAATTCAGTGTCCAAATGTGAAAAAAAAAAGTCTAAACATGATCAGAGCATCATTTTCTGCCTTGTAACAGCACTCTCAGGCTCTTCTGATCAACTTTTTCCCTCCTTTAGAAAAGTCCATGCTTTTTTAATTGCATGGCATATAAGATAGAAGAAAGTAACAATGTATGTGTTCTGAACAAGCTGCAAAAGTCATGGTTTCCCTGAGACACGAATCAGTTTTCTGTAAATCAAGCAATCACACCTTATTTTATCAGATAGGGTCTTCCTTTGATAGGAAGAAATTCCAGTGCCAGAATATTGATGTACACACACTCAGTCTCAATGATGAGGTTCCCTCTTAAGCACAGTCCTTGAACTTCTGTGGGTGGCACTTCACCAAATTCCCCACCAATTAAATAGAAAGAAGCCACCCATTAGGTGCCACAAATCTCTGTGACGAGGAAGACATCCTTGAGGATGTCCCACTACACCATTGCCCAGTTTTTAGACTCTTTCCCAAGCATCTTTTTTTGTCTGCCAAAAAAAAAAAAAAAAAAAAAAAAAAAAAAAAAAAAGGGACATTGGGCTAGACCCACCTTCAGTTCAATTTTGTGTGGTCAGTTCTTATGTGATTAAAAAAGACCTATCTTTTAAGTCTTAATCCAGACACTATTTAATTTACATTAAACCAAAAAGCCACCTCTCTGACATGCATTAGAGACATTTGAAGATCCCTTCCAACCCAAACCATTCCATGATTCTGTGACACCGCAGGCGCAGAGTGGATCCACACAGAATACATAACAGCCTGCAGTAATGTGCAAACCAGCCCAGCCCCAGGCAGCTGCTTGCTGCTGGCAGCACAGGCAGCAAGTGCCACACTGGAGGGGTCTACAGACAGCAAGGAGGGAGGAACAGAGATGATCAGCACATTCCCATGGCTCAAACATCTCACAGGAGATGCTGTGCAAAGAGGAGCAGCACCCTGGCAGACAGGAGTAGGGAACTCCTGTTGAACACCACAGTGGCCAGAACACTGAGCTATGTGCTGTTTACTTCTCACTTCCACCTCTGGGTTCCCATCAGCATCATCTAAGGCATAAAAATGACAGGTCTGAATCACACCTTGGTCAGCTTTCATTGTGTTTGCAGTGAAACTGAGTCGTTACACACACGGGGGATTCAGCTCACTCTTGCGGATCAGTTACTGGAAACACAAAGCAGCACATAATTATCTTTCCCTTGCAGGACACTAATTCATCAATCATGCCCATGAGGAAGATCTATTGCACTGGCACACAGACTGAGCTGCAAGTTGTCCCTTGTTTGTGATAATGCCCCGTGTTGTGTTCTCAAGCACAGCCATATGGAAACCAAGGGCAGGCATTTTTGTTCTGAGGTTCTAGATTGAGCCCCACAAGGTACAGGAAGAACTTCAACTTCCATATATCAAGAGCTATCACTAAACCAACAGAATTGTGAAGGTATCTTAGAAACTAGACAACCTATAAAAAGTATATATAAACCCCATTTATTTATAGATTTAAGAGCCCAACTTTATCACCCTCCTTAAAAGTGCTGGCTTCTCATCAAATCAGTAACTGCTCTTCAGCAGAAGCAGAGACAGATTGCATGAAACGTTGTGATTTGCTAAGCCCTGTAAATATAAACTAAAAAGGTATAAAAAATGTGCTTATGAAAAATACATAGCCAAAAAAAAAAGAAGAAAAGTACACATAACAAAACAAGTCAGATATAAATGCAAATCATGCTGCAGAATTTAGGACATTGTATAAAATAAATAGATTTAACCATTTATATGGGATACTAAGAAAAACCTCACATTCTATTGTTGACAGATGAAGAGGATTTAATTAACAGCAGGGGAAGAGTGGAGGGCAAGTTATCCCCAGCTCAACAAGAAAAAATTATTTTTAGTCATAAGATTTAAAACTTTGAGGAGTGTAAATCCTCCTGCTTCAAGTCTTTATTCAGCTTCTCACACATAGAAGGAGGAAACAAAGTCCTCTGGGGGAAGCTCTTCTTTTACTGTTCCAGCAATGTTTCTCATGTTCTCCCTTCAAAAACTGGTGCAGACTATTACTAGAGAGAGTTTAGAGATAGGGGAGCCTTGCTTTCATCTCATATGACAACTCCTGTATTATAAAATCCTAAAAACAGGAAATCCTGAGGCCTACAAAACTTTTGTATCCTCATGTGTAGGAATCCAAATGCAACAGGAAGAATTAACAAAAGTCTTTTTATTGATTTCTGTGGACATTACATGGGACCCCAGAGACCTCAGCACAAATGACAACTGCAAAATATATTCACAGTCCTGTCAAAACCTGAAGACTAATAACCTAATATGAAGTTGTTAAGCTGGTGATACAAAGATATCCATCAAAATTTTACTCAGAGGTGTGAACACTTCAAGTGACATCAGGGTACAACGAGCTTGTAAGGCAGTAAAAGGATGTTTCCTTTTGCTTTTCAAGTCCAGTGGAACATTGTCATCCTCTACAGGCAAGTTATGATGATGGAGATGAAATTAAATTCACAGCTGAGAAAAATGTGTAAATCCACTGGAAACTGAACCAGAGAGAAAACTCTGCAGGAGCCTTAGCCACTGCTGCTGGCCCACAGTGCCACTGCTCTGCTCTCAGAGTCCACCCACAAGTCCAAGGTATGGGTAAAGCTGCTGAGCAGGGAAAAATGTGTCTGTAAAGTTTCAGATAGCATAAAAAAACAAAACACACAGGAATGGCCTGAAACAGGCTTTAGAGCAAGTGGATGAAACCATTCATTCAACAAAATACTCTTTCTTTCCTTTGGGTTGGGGCATTTTTGTTGAAGTCACTTCTTAGCAAACAAAGATCAGTAGTCTCACTTAAGTTTTAACTTTCTGCCCTAAGGTAAAACCACCTACCTAGAGTTTACAGTTATAACAAAATTCCCCTTATTATATTGCTTTAACATAGGATTTGAACTCCAACCTTGTTTTTACAGCATGATTCATTAACTCTCATAAAATTCCTGGGGGAAGTCTATTTTCCATCCTAGAATTTTCCAGAACTGATTTAAAATACTTGAACTTACCACCTCAGAACCAAAACCAGAATGATTACACTAGAATATACACAGAAACCTTCCCAGACATTCAGATTTCTCAGCACCTGCTCATCTACCAACGTAGAGACGTACAGGTCTGATCTAGACATCATTTTAACTCATGTTGCATTGTGGAGATTTCACAGTGTTATGCTGACACCTGACCTGAAATTACACCAGAGAAACTCTCAAATGATGCACTTAAGGAAAAATCACAAGTCATTCATTTTAAGGTTCTAGACAGGTTTGGTTTTTTTTCCTTCAAAAAACTACACTATAGCATGATCAAGATAACTGACAGATTTGGGTATATTCTGTAATGATTCCTGTATATGCTCTTTCTTATCCTCCACCATGGGATGTTTGTTACAAGAAGAGTTTGCCTTAACAGAGCTCCATGTGAAGAAGCAAGGAGGAAAAAACAGGTTCAAGTTAAACCAGTCCTCAACATTTAATTTTTAAAGACTAATGCCAGGGGTCATCTTTAAAAAAAAAATACCTTTCTGAGTTTGATTTAAGCTCAGAAACAGGAACAAAGAAGATTTCTTGCCAGATTTTAAAGGACTTTTTATGATCAAGAAAAATTTGGCAGTAGTGTGAGAAAAGATGTAACTGGCACAGAATTGCAGAGTGAGTATCTAATAACCTCAGTTTGCAAGTGATCATCAGGCAAGGTTTCAGAAACAAAATCATCGTATGTTGCTCATAATTCTTAAAAGGTAATGAAAAATCCACAATATCTTGCATTTATGGCTTCTGAGAGGATCAGATATTCTCTACTAGTCAAAACTTTTCAAAATTTATAAGCAGAGGAGGCACAATATGGCTAATCTATAATATGGGCTAGCAATGTCCTTGGCTCACATTAATGCCAATTTTTAAATTTTATCCGTAGGGAAAAAGGTACAAGGACTAAACTTGGGGACCAAACACAGGGAGAGGAAAAAGCAGAAGAAAATGTAGTTTTGTCTGCAACACTGAGTCACAAACAGCAGTTCCAGAGTCTGAAGACAACTCTCAAAGGCTTTGAGAACTGATTTTTAGTCACATCGGGAGCAGAGTCAGTAGCGATGAATCCTCTCTCTGAACAGGGAAGACAGGCAGGTTTTCAGAAACTGTTTGGGGCTCTTATGGAAATTAACAGAATATTTTCTTTTCAGCCAAACTTCAAAAAGTGGGGACAGCTGGCAATGCTCCCTTTCGTGAAATATAGTTAAAAGCAGTTTTGCAGAGACTGTTGTAGTTCTTCAATGTGTAAACTACTTCACATATAAAAGTCAGTAGAAATTCTTGCTTTCCTGTGAAATACTGCTCCAGAGAACATGACTGCATGTGTCAGTAGTTCTCTGCTCCTGTTTCCAGGACTGAATAGACTATTAAAGTTTCAGTGCTGGCATAAAAGCTCTCTGAAAACATTTTTTTCACTCAACATGTAGAATATCAGATTCTCTTGAGAAGCCCAATTACAACTCACTAAATTAAGCCAAACCCCAGCAACAAGATGTTCACTTAAAATATCAAAAATTAGTTTTGTGCAGTAAACAAACTGCAGTTTTGGACTGGTTATGTTTCTGCTTTGTTTCCAAGTTACAGAAACTGGTTCAGCAGCAGCAACAGCTCATTCACACACTCTGCCAAGCTCTCAGTCAAAAAGGCTTCTGACTTTCTGATGTGATTTAAACAAGTTCAGTGACAACTGAAACCTCTGACAGGTCTTCTCACAGATTAGGGTGAATGAATTTTGCAGCTGCTTTAATGGCTGGTTCTGCATTTAGATTTTTCAGTAAGCTCTATCACAGATCCAAACACGCTCATTCTTACCCAAAGAAACAATGAGTTTCTATCTCAGCTGTAAACTGACACCAAACCTACTCAATATTGTGTAAAAATGGATTAAGTGAGGTCAGAATTAAACAATTAACATCTGCAAGACAGACAAAAAGCAAAAACAAAATCAATATTGTCTGTAAAAAAGAAAAAGTTGATAATGAAAAAAGGAAGAAGTTCTTTCCATAAAAAAACTCAGCAGGAGATCTAAATGTATCATCTAGACAGCTGTACTGTTCTATAAAACAGATTCTCATGATGATAACAAAAGCCTGACAATAATTCTCTATTTTAGACAGGAATAACAATTCTTTTGTTCCAGTTGCTCTTCAGCTGACGCCTTTTAAGTAGGGAACAGTGATTTCAGTTTTCAGGGGAAGCCAAAAGAGATTTACCTGTATTTCATCTCCTAATCAAAGCTGGCCAGTTTGCAGTGCAATCTATATTTGAATCTCATTTGCCTATGTGAAGATACTTCACATGCATTTAGCTTCAGACATTGTGTATGACTAAAAACCAAACAAAGCGGAAACATATTCTGCTTCCTTGAAAGTAAATGCAGTCTCTTGTTTTGATTTTGGAGATAACAGCATTGGTTCCTGAATGCAGACAGGAGGTATTAACAACAAAAAATTCACTTTGGCTCCCTAAGGCACAAGGAGATACCATATTGACTTTTAAAGCCATTGACTGTTCTGACAAACCTACAGAAAAGCTCTGGGAAGAGTTTTAGAACTGAAAAAAAAACCCAACCCAAACCAGCCAAACATCAGTGCACCCCCCTC